TCGGACATCAGGTCACTGCCAGGACTAATTAATCAAATCAACTCAGCTCGAAGTTCCTTTTGAATTTTATTTCTCTCAGTAAGCTAGCATATATCCTTTAAAGCTCCACTGATCTGATTTTTCATCTGAGCCCTCTTGAAAGAGTTCCAGATATTCCAGCTGACTCCACCAGCATAAGGTGAGTCCTTACCAGGACGATAGACACCGTTCAGGTTTGAATTATAACATCTATGATACCACCACCCTCCTTTATATCGATCAGCACAGTTACCGCCATAGCTGTCATTGTCCTGATCCTTAGTTGTAAAGGAAGAGCTACCATGTTGTTTCAGGGAATCGCCAGCAGTTCCTGGAATGAAGTGAAACTTGAAATTAGCTCCTGCGCGCATGACTTTCAAAAAGACGTCATGTAATCCAACCTTACCTAAGAAGCAAAGACGCAAAATTCCGGTCACCCTACGTCGAGAAAACTGAATTAAAGTTTTGAAAAGTATATACTAATTTTGTGCCATCATAGATAATACCGATGAAGTTCGCCATACTGTATTTAATCTGACAATACAGATGCAGTGTATTGCGTTACATAGCGTTACCATTGTAAGGAACTTCCTCTTATTCAATAGTGTCGTAAATCTACTCTCCTGAGGAAAAGTGAAATAACTAATTAAGGGTATTGTAAAGAAAATTTTCCCTCTTGATTATTTAATAAAATACAGTTGAATTAGAAGGAATGAGGGTGATCACTTGACTCATGATCAAAATACTTTTGAGGCGTTCTCAAAAAAACTCTTCCCTAAGCTAAAAAAAATGGTTAATTTACAAGAATTACTTTTATTTGCTTCAGAAAATTTACCCGAATATGTCTTTACGCTCAAACGGTACTTCTTACTTTCGTCCGCCACTGCAACCATGATGTACTCAGGGTAATCAGTACTGCCGTCAAACTTTTCCAGATCGATTCCAAGCTTGCTCGGGGATTGCGTTAGGCGGTATTTTTTGTTCAGTCCGAGCCAAAACTCGCCATCGAGATTACCAAAGCCATTCTTGTAGTTAGACCAGCCGCGGTCGAAATCAACAGAGCCATCAAGTCTCTTTTGTACCACTGTTCATCCCCCTCCAGCAGCTTTTTGGTCACAAAACACGTTAATTTCAGGTCCAACACCATCTGGATTGATTGTATAAACACCGCTAGTTGTTTACCAGATTCGTAGAGCTCGGTACAGTTATGCATTACTAAAAGAATAGAATAAAAATAATAATGTTGAAAAAAAAAAATAAAAATAATAATATATATAGCAGTTCACTATACAGAATATGCCACAAGCATGAAGAAACGGTAGATCACATCATATCCGGCTGCCACGAACTCGCAAAAACTGATTATCTAGAGAGGCACAACAAGGCAGCTGGATATATTCAATGGAAGGCGTGCCAGCATTACAATGTTGAAGTCCCAGACAGGTGGTGTGAACATAAACCCGAGACAGTTATAATTACCGAAAACGAAGAGGTCACAATTCTCTGGGATATGCAGGTACATACTGATAGAGAACTGTCAGCGAATAAGCCTGATATAGTGATAAAGGACCATGCCAACCGATGTTGCAAACTCATAGATGTATCGGTACCATCCGATAGAAACGCCTCAACGAGTCATCGAGAAGCTTTCAAAATACAAAGATCTCGAGATTGAAATCGCGACAATGTGGGGAATGAGAACAGAGACTGTGCTGGTTACTGTTGGTGCGCTAGGACTTATTAGAGAGGGAATGGACCAGAACTTAGGAAAGATCCCTGGAGCCAGTAACATTAATGAGCTGTAAAAGATCATCCTCCTAGGAACAGCGCACATACTGAGAAGGTTTCTGTCCATCCAATAAAAGAGTCCCCTGGCACCTCAGGGCCAAGGATTGGCCCCGGTTCTAGGAGACTGAAAGAAGCAAATAATAGCACTGTAAACTGTAATAATAATAATAATGATAATAATGATAATAATGATAATAATAACAATAATAATAATAATATATTTTTTTAAAAGATCCTTTATTTACCATGATCACAAAAGATTTACAAAAATCATGTTAAAAGGCTTAAAATGTCTAATAAAAATCTAAGAAAAGCTATTGGATGCACGCTTCGGTCAGTAACGATGATGACAACAACAATTATAATCATAATAACTCCGTTCTCTAGGATCAGACTCGTATCAGACCCAAACTAACTTTGATAGCCAAAACGACCTACATATAAAAATCGCGAAAGCAAGTACTTGTTCCTATTGAAAGAATTTCAGAAAACGTGCATCGAAATTATCCTTATAAAAGTAAATTACGTTAAAAATATATATGAGAAGGGAAATGACACTCTTACTCTAAAAAATTGTAAAACAAATGTCTCAAATGTTCTTCTCTTCTTTCTCGTACCTCTTAAGCATAAGAGGGTGCATCGTAAGAGCGCAAAGGAGATTTTGGCTCTAATTCAGGACATAGTGGTAGAGTATGTTTCACATTTCTTAATGGATATGAGTTCAGCTAAGCGTTTATGGTAAATTTTTCCGGTGTTACTAAAAGAACAGGGGCGTAAAGGATCCTTGGTCTATTTCCAGTACTCTACTGGCATACTTTCGCTTCTTCTCATTTTCGTGCTGTTTAAAGACTTGCTCAGATGTCTTCTCACGAAAGGAGTCAGCATAAGGGTGGAATACCTGGTCATCAAAGTATGCAGACTTCTGTCGCTCGCAGAAACCTCTGGCTAGAATATCAAGACGAGCATCTCGGGAGGTATTGGTCCCATTATTCAAAAATTCTCCAGTAATCTGCTGCAGGGGAGGCTCGATTTCCACATCTTTACATACGGTGCTAAGTAGTGCCGCCTCCAGGTCTCTGATCTCATTGTGGCGTTGTGTCACAAATCCGCCATTTCTGCGGGTCATCGCATGGTCCACGTCAAAGATGTCACCACAGACGCAGCGGTTTGGGATGTCAGAGAATTCCCAATTATATCTCAGCTTAAGGGCATCTTTAAATTCTCCTTTATTGAGATCGTATTCTAGGTCTTTTAAGGGGAGGACAGTGAGCCAACTGGAGGCACCTCTTTCTGATGCTTGTTCTTTCACTTTGAGCGAGTTCGGTGTTAACATGTTATTTAGCCTCACTTCAGATTATTTCAGGGCCTAATGTTTCTTAGCTAATAATAATAATAATAATAATAATAAAAAAACTAATAATACAGTAGAAAGCTAAAAGCGCATTCAACCAGATCTCATCCTGAGGCAAGTTTCTTGTTACAAGTTGTTTGCCCTGGGTCACTGTTTGCTTTGTGGATATGGTTTTATTAGCCATGGGGAAAACAAGTTTAATAAGTCGTGGATGGATCACGTTTGCATGGGTTTTGAAGATAAATTAGTTCCTTTTTACAAAAACATACACTGTTGCATGTAAACATAGGTAACCAATGGGTAACTCTCGGATAGAGTTGACACCACTTATAACTACTTTGAAATGCTGGGGTGATGTTGGGTAAATATTCAGAATTCACATTTTAGCCATTGCTTAATTAGTGCAAAGCTGCAGACTGCAGACCGCAGACCAGGTACAAAATGTACACTGTAGACTGCAGACCGAGGAGTTTTAAAACTGTTTTTCAGTCGGTTACTTAACATCACCTTACAACTTACCGAGTGTTACACAATCGCTTTTCCGCAATCATCTTTCACGATCATTTCTACTTTTGTGGAGTATTTCTTGCCTTTTTCCTTGTTTATTTTGTTTAAGCTTACGATTCATTCGTACTTTTACTGATATGTGTGCTTATAGGTTCCCTTATAAGTTCGATCAAAGATTTGCTGAAAGCTTTGCTGGTAAAATTTACTCGTTAAAGGCCCACTATTTATAAATCCCCTTTGAGTTTAGAGGATCTACGACAAAACGACTCAAGGAGTCTACACTCATTGTCACATTTTTCAAGGAGCTTTGAACCAGTTACACATGTACTGATTGCGACGAATATTATAGGAAAATTCATTACCTGGCTCGTGAATTCCGCGTTAAATTGCACTTGAAAACCGATATCGCGATGAGTGCGATATCGGTTTTCAAGTGCAATTTAACGCGGAATTCACGCGTCAGGTAATGAATTTTCCTACAGAATCGTGTCATTGAATTAAAATAGGAAAACAAGAAAACAGCGATAATATTGTTTCTTTTCATCCTGGGCGCGCACCCGAGAAAGCCATTTCGTACTAAACTGTCAGAACTGTCATTGCGTTAGCGAATAGGAAGCAAGGTCAGTTGTGCACGTCAGAACATTCGACATCTTTTATTTGAACATTGCTTTATTTGAAACTTTTCAAACAAGCCTCACACTATTTAAGGATAACGGTGGTATTTCACTGAATTTACAAGCCGTTTATTTTTTAACATCTTTTTTTCAAATTTCCACTGAATTCGCTCGCGAAGGAAAAGAAGCTCAACATCAGGATCTGACAAGTCTCCAGTGAACCTATGATCAGCCGGGTTCAATATCCTTCCATGAAGCAGGTGTGATGGTGAACGTGGCTCATCTTCGGAGGAAGATACATAAGAAAGTGGTATTGAATTGAGAATCATTTCCACTTCAGCAATGACGGTCGTCAATTTTTCACATGTGAGCCTTGCACCTCCAATCGTTTTCTTCAGGCACCGTTTCACGGACCTTACTATTCTTTCAAATAGGCCTCCCCACCAAGGGGCTCTCTCAAGATTAAAGATCCATTTGACTCTTTTCTCTGCAAGGTACCGCATTACTTCTGGATATCTCATCAGCTCTGTTATCTGTTTAGATGCAGATTTAAAGGTCGTCCCATTATCTAAAACAATATTGGAAGGTAAGCCTTGTCTTGCAGAGAATCTTCGGAAACTTCTAAGGAATGCCTCAGGGGTCAAATCTGGTACCATGTCAAGGTGAAGCGCTCTTGTCACACAGCATGTGTATAGACAAATCAAGACCTTCTCGGTTTTACTCTTAGTTTCCTTGGCCTTCAATGGACCTGCATGATCCAATCCAGTATACGTAAAGGCTGGTGCTGTTGTCACCCTAAAATCAGGCAAAGGGGATGGTGGCGGTGGTTTGAACGCCTTTCCCTCGTATTTCCGGCATGTCACACAGTCACGCAGAAGTTTCTTAACGGTCTGTCTTCCCTTCACTAATCAGAACTTGGAGCGTAACTCCGTCAGCGTGTCCTTAACCCCATTGTGCATTACTCTCTTGTGGTAATCCTTAGCCTTAACCTAGACTAGGGCGGTAAACCTGAGGACACTTTCAAGTAGGATGGGATGCTTGGTTGTGTAGGGAAGTTCAGCATGAGACAGCCTTCCTCTGCAGCTTACAAGGCCATCAGGATCAGTAAAGAGATCAAACTCCCGGCTCCAGCTTTTGAACTTCTTATTAAGTCGCAGAGTTTTTTGCACATCCAAAATCCAACACTGTTCTGCTTCCTTCATGTCAGTAGCGCTTATGTCTGATTCAAACACTTGTTCGCCACCTTTCAGTCTTTCCTTAAAGTTCTTAACGAATCGCAACACATAACCTGTAACACGTAACGGGCGATGGAGATTGCTGAAGCGGTCTGGATCAATAAGACTAATGATGCTGGGGCTTTCAGAACTGGTAACGAAGGTCGAGGTTTTGAGTTGTTCTCGATTCTTCACAGACATTTCTGCTAAGCACTCGTCAGGTATGTGTTCGGCATGGCTATCCTCAATTAAATTATCGTTGTAATGGCCTAACTATTCTGGACCATTGTGCCAAAGAGCGCTTGAAACTAACTGAGAAGCATTCATTCCTCTTGATGGGATATCCGCAGGGTTGCTATCAGGAGGACAATGTCTCCAGCAGTCAACAGGGAGAAGTCTTCTAATCTCGGCGACGCGGTGTTGCACGAACTGTTTCCATTCTTTATCAGTGTTCTTGATCCAGCAGAGCACAATCTCGGAGTCACTTCAACAGGTGATCTTCTTAAGTACTTCGCATTCTAGAGCTGCTTTAACAGCAAAGATAAGTCTGGCTAGTATGACTTCTCCAAGAAGTTCCAATCTGGGAATTGTTTCCTTGCTCAGTGGGGCTACTCTTGTCTTCGAAGCTAGAAATCTAGTGTAGGTTTGAGAGGTTGTTTTGATTTTAAGGTAGGCAACTGCATTGTATGCGTTTAGCGAAGCATCACAGAACCCACGAAGGTCGCAACGAACAACTCTATCCCGTGGCTCTTTAAAATAACATCTCTCTAACCAGAATGGTTGGACATCTTGAGGGTTTGAAACTAGTTTGTTCCACTTGGTGAGCAGCTCCTCTTCCAATGTGTCATCCCAGTCGGTTTTGCTTTCACAAAGTTCTAGAAACAAGAGTTTTAACTGTACAACAACTGGGGACAGAAAACCAATGGGATTATAGAATTTTGCAGCAATTGAGGCAATGTTCTTTTTAGTGGGAATGCTCTCCGAGGCTTGCTTGACTATAGAACCGATGTCAAATTTCAACTGGTCTTCAACAAAGTTCCACTGAACTCCGAGAATGTTCTGTGAAGACTTATCATCATCTTGCATGCCTCCAAGTGTACTCTTGGTGTAGGACTGTTCATCCTCAAAAACCAACATCTGAGTGTCGTCATTAACCACAGTTACTTTGAGGTTCTCTTCATCAGCTCTGTCTCTCCTGTTGATAAGAGGGGTAGGATGATCGTAGTGCAATCTGTTTTATTTTCTTGTATGCGGTTCCTTAAGTCAGCCGAACTTGCCACAAATCTTCTCAAGTTGAACCCACCCTCTGCTAGTCTTAGCTTGGACTTGATGTACATCTGGTATACTTCCTCGTCTGTGTTCTCCCCCCCCCCCCCCATACTCAAACCATCAACATAGATAGACCTTAGGAAAGTCTTCACGAATTCCGGGTCGTCCTCTTCATATCTCTCCATATGATGTTTGATTGTTGCATTGAGCAGGAAGGGACTGGATGACACACCAAATATAACCCTGGAAAACCTCACCACAACAACTTCAGGTCTTTTCTTCTTGATGTCGTCGACCCAGAGAAATCTCAAAACATTTCTATTATTTTCTGCAACTGATACATTAAGGAATGCCTTTTCGGTATCCTCAATAAATGCCTTTCTGTTTGTTTGGAACCTGAGGATGATGTCCATAATTTACTGGGAGAGTACTGGCCCAGAGTACAGACAGTCATTTAAGGAGCAGCCACTTGACTTACAGGATGCGTCATAACCAATTCACAACTTTGTTGTTTCTTTATCCCTCCTAATAACAGCGTGGTGTGGTAGGTAATGTACTCTTCCAACTTCTCCACATTCTGGCTTACTGACCTCTTCAACAATCCCACTCTTAATCTGCTCCTTGATAACAGCAAGCACCACGTTTGGATCTTCTTCAAGCCGACTTAACAGATTCTTTAGTCGTTTGACGCTTGTCTCGTAATTGTTAGGTAGGAGTGGATGAGTGTCCTTCCAGGGCAGGTGTACCTCATACCTACCACGCCGAAAGGTGATAGTGTTGGTGAACTGGCTGTAGACTGACTGTTCAGAGCTTGATATCCCCAAAGACTCCAAGTCCCAGAATCGCTTCAGCTCTACCGTTAGGTCATTTTTCTCGGGATTAGTTGGTTCAGAAGCACACCTAAGGACATGTGTACTTGATACCAGGTTCACGAATGGGCCACTATCATGGGTTGGGTCTTCTACTGAACCAGATAGCACCCATCCCAGTCTCATGTGCACAGCCATTGGACCCCTGTTTCCTCTTCTTACTCTCCCTGTAACCAACTGCCAGTACTGGTCAGATCCAATCAAGATATCTACTTCAGCGGCTCCAGCTTCTCAGGAATAGTCAGCCAGGTGTAGATCACTGAGAAAGTCATACATGTTCTTTGCCAAAACTTCATTTTTGTGATTTTTTTTATTTTGCTTCAAAATGTACTAGGTCCAACCACTATTACAAACTGTAGGTTAAATTGGCAAAATGTAATTGTTACAAATACTCTTTTTTTGTTTAAATCATTCGTGAATGGAATGACCTGCCCGCCAACGTCATTGAGATAGGTAACTTAACACGTTTCAAAACAGCTCTTAAATTATATATGCGTATTTCTTAGGTTTTTATCCATCTTAAATTTTATTATAAGCATACACTTTTCAATTTTGTTTCTTTGGAAGTTTATTTACATAGGGTTAACCTCTTAAACTTCCTTTTTAGGGTATTATTTGTGTCGTTTATTCTTTGATACCTTAAATAAAGTATGTATGCATGTATGTATCTACTGTCTGACCGCTGAGAGGTTCACAAATCATGGGTATTGAATAGGCTGACAACTGCATATCCTTCCTATCCAAAAGTTTCATACTAAAATGAGCAACATCATAGTTCTGTGACTTCTCGTCCTTAGACCTAAAGGTCTTGATTAGCATTGTTTCTTGGTGGTCAACTTGTGGGTTCAGCTCCCTTTTCAGATGATTTGTTATGTATGACCTCTGACTTTGATTCCACTATGGAAAATTATTCTAATCTTTCTGCCTCCCCCTACAGATCCTGTCTTGTTAATAATGGCTTGGGCTGTCTGTAGGAGTATAGCAGTCTTCGAACTAATAGACAGGACTGCAGGTGGGGATTCAAGTGATCCCTTGTCTCTTTGGTTTGTACCCTCTCTTGACTGAGGTTCGTCACTGGGCGGGCTTACAGGGGCGTGACTGGTACAGATGCATATATGATGCCGTCCATTACTTTTAAACCATTTGTTTTGTAAAGGGCAATCTCGGCTCTGGTGATATTTCTTCAAACATATGTAACACCGTCCAGTTCTCCTTAGGATTTCCCTTCTAGCTTAGACATCGGTCACTGTCTTGCAGTTGTTGGAAGCATGAGGTTGTTTACAATAGGTGCATGTCGGAGACGAGTGTGAGGTGGAGGCGAGTGCTGACCCTGAAGGAGGATCATTGTAATACTGATCTCTTCTACGGGATGACAAGCTCACGGTTGGACCCATAGCTCTTTCACGTGCCTCAAGTTCTTAGTGTGGTGCTTTCATTAAGGTTCAAGTTCCCAATCTCCTTGTTTAATCTTCCTGCTTACAATCAGAAGTAGTTCTTGGGGTATCTTGTTCATCAATACTGATGAGAGTAGGCTACCATAAGACTCAGATGACACACCAAGTACTTTGGGACTCCTAACATGCACTTGTACCAAGTCATAAATTCTTAAACCCCTTAAATCGTGATTGGAAGTAATGGGTGCCATGTCAAGAAGACCTTCCATATGTTTGTTGAAAATCATCTTTTAGGTCCGAATTTTTCCCTCAAAATAGCAGTTGCTTTCTCATAATTGGCATAATAGGCCTTTCTCGTAGACTTTCTCGAACTATCCGGCTCGAAAGACCATGTTGGGAAAAGATTGAATGGTTTAGGTCGCTACAAGGATCAAAACTCGATAAAACTCAACAAATACTTTAATCCACATCTGTCCAGCCAAAACTACAAACTTGCGAGCACATGTCTTACAATCCCATGATTCCCAAGAACAGGACAGGCACGTAACGCGTGCTTACTGGCATCATGACATTCCTAACAACACGTTTTCTCTCTTTGGTTGCAAAACGGAAAGAAATGAAGTGTGCAAGCGAAAGCACTGAAAGTTTAACATCGCGATTAATATAAGGTGAGTACCTTGAAGTGTAAATACGTGTATTGATCGATATTTTATTCTTTTAAAAACAAAGAAGTGTTTGACGAAAAGTCCAAAAACTTTGCTCTTTTTCTTTGTAGAAATTCACTACAGGCAACTGCCATTAGCTGAATCGTTGGGATGAGCATTCGACGGAAAGTTGATGGAACTATTCGCTGGAGAGTTGTTGAAAGATACATTGGTGAACAGTCTACCTAGAACTCTTGCTGTTAGACCATTACTGCCGTTATTCACTGCTGTTGTGTTATTACCAACTACTGATGGAAGTGCAAGGCTGTTGACATAAATTTCTCGCAAAGCTTCAGTGCGTGGACCACCGCTGGCGTTAGCAGCTGTCACAGTCGTAATGGTACGACTGAAGACTCAGACAACTTGCTTGACATCCTTCGTTGTTTTTCTATAGGACTATGGCTGTAGGTGGATATTAAATCCGGGTTGGCGTGACCTGTTAGCTCGGAAATTGTTTTTTCTGGGCCGTGTTCACAGGATTTTCTCGCTTTCGCGTTGCCGCGAGCGAAAGAGTATTTCATGCCTCTCCAAGAATTTATAGTTCAGTTCAAAACAAGGAAGAACCTCAGACTCACTTTGAAAAACGCTTCTTTTGTTTTTGGCTCTTTAAAAAGTGACAATGGCTTTGAAAAAGTTTTAAATTGGCTTAGAAACCAAACTTTGTAACAGTTTGACAATAGTTGTGATGCTTACATAGATACAAAACAATATCACTTTGCCTCGTTTTCAACTCGCAATTACACGCTAAATACCTCGCTTCCTTAACCAATCAGAATGCGAGATTGTATTCAATCATGCTATTCTAATCGAACCACCCTCAAAGAAAAGCCGAATTGTATTTCAGTAATATTTCGGAAAGTCCATCCTTTTTGTAAGCTATGCGGTTACGTAGTTGAAAAAAGGGGTAAGCAAGAATTCAAAATGACTGCATTAGTATGCGCCGCAGCCTACATCTTAATTCCTTCTTCTCTCCTCAAAATGACAAATGAACAAATTGAGAGAACCAACACAATCCAAGTATCGCATGGATAACTGACTTCTGAGGCTTTGAAACTTCAGGGTGTTAATAAAGAGACAAATCCGAATTTAAGGAAACCTTGTAGCAGTTTCAGACGCAACAAAAGAGAACTAGTTATGGTCTCTTTTTAACATAAATTCATCTCCATGTTTCTCTAAAGAAGAGGCGTTCATTTGCACATAACTGTTAAAGTCAAGGCCCTCGATGCAGAAGGGGCACTTCACTTCTACACAGCCCTGTCCACAGCAATCACACTCACAAAGAAAATCTGGGGTTGCATGCAAAAATTGATACTTTTTATTAATGATTATCCCACATTTGGTGACTACAAAGTTTGCATGAGTCTCTTTCATGGTTTTCTCATAAGCTGCGATAGCTAACGCCTCGTGTTTACATCCATGTTTAGTGGCTGTTGTACTAAACCGAAAAATGTTTGGATAACATATGGTTTTTATCAAAGATTGCGATGGCTATGATGGATCTGTGGGGCTCGCTGCACGGCACTTTGAAGCACCTATCCTTTCAGCCCTCTGTCTAAAAAAGGCACTTCCTTTAGCCTGGTCAATGGTGTCCCTTTCAATTGCCTTTATTTGTTCCCCAGATAACTTTATACCAACTTTGTAACACTCCTGGAGTAGTTCAGGGTAAGATAAATCAAGATATTTCTTTTCATATAAATCTGGGATAGCTTTGATATCCCGGGTGGTAGAAATAAATGTCTCAGAATGTGGATGGATCAAACTGAAGCAGACTGGTTTGACTCTGCACTCACTAAGTGATTTGTAAAACTGCTGCAATTCGTCCTTGGATGGTGGCTTTAATGCTGGCTTGTTCTCTGCAGGTGTGGGTTCATTGGACTGAGCTGCAGAACTTGATTCAGTGCTCGAGAAATTGACAGATTCCATTGACTTGTCAAGTTCACTTTTTATTTTCTTGGCCGACGCAAATTTAATATTCCTCACTCTCGCATACTCTACTTGTTTTACTGCAGAAGGTAAAAGCCATGTACATTTCACCTGAGTGCATGCAAGTTTTCCATTCAATCTTGTCCAGACTTCCAGATAAAAAAGAACACTCGCGATATGAGAACAGCATTCTCCCAGCCCAGCCATACATCCCGCACAATGCGCTAAAACAGCAGTTCCTTTTGTGGTTGTTATGATCCAGAGCTGCACGTGGGGGGTCATTCATCCTTTGCGAATGCCTTACTTTAACGAGAACAACAAATTTATCTTGGATTATTTGGCCAAGAAAACTTGTAACAAAACCAGAAACCATTTGATTGTGGGCAAATAGGCTTCGGAAATTCTTGAATCGATCCTTAGTGTAGAAGCCGGTCTCTAGCACAAGATATGACAAAATATTACCAGCTTCGACAGGAGGAGGGCATTCCGAAGGATATTTCTGCACTGGAACGAGCAAAGGATCACGGAGACCTTTTTGACATACCTTTTCTTAATACTGCCTTCCAGTGAATTAGCGTAAGCGGAAAACATGAGTTTGGAATCCGCAATCGCTTTGTCCGAAGACGCATATTTTTCCAATTCACTGACCTCCATCTCAAAAATCACTCCTCCAACATGGCGGC